TATGTATATGCATGTAAGAAATGTAAATATGATATACTTTCCTATCTATTTACTAATACTAGCAGTGTACGGTTTAAAAATAGTCAATGGTGATTGAGAGCGTTAAATTCCACTTTAAAGAACAGCAATCAGTGCTATGACAATGAAAGAAGCAGCATTGGGGAGCCTCTGAGCCATCAAATAAGTTGTCATGTTATATATACCTTCATTATATATGTACTGACTTACAGTGTTGTAGTTTCATTAATCAGCTGCACCTGAACTTAAAGTATTACTAAACCCACAACAGTAAAATCAGCCTGTAGATGTATTCTACTCACTGTGGAACCTAAGGGGTTAATCCTCTGCATTGTAAAAAATGGCTGTTTGATCCTGTCTTTTCTGATCCTCCCCTTCTGCAACTGTCCCCAACCCATCTGCTAACAGAACAGAGCCTTGGAGGCAAGCTGCACATGCTCAGTTTGGGGTGTATTGCTAGAGAGGTTTTTTTTTTTCTAGGGTGAGTACATGTGAACAGCCCAGGGCCAATCAGCACTGTCCAGACAGAGGGTCAGGGGTTATGTAATCTCATAGGGCAGTGAGAGGAGAATGAAAACTCCTCCTACAAGCTGTAACCAGTGCTCTGCTGGACACTGATAGAAGTCACAAGTCTGCTTTAACTGCTGATGAGAAAAGGTATTTAGTAGTTAATATTTAATAAAATAATTGCTCTTCCATGTTCTGTGTACTGTGGGAGACCCAATATAGTGAATGCAGGGTCTGGGGAGACCAATATAGTGAATGCAGGGTCTGGGGAGACCAGATATAGTGATGCAGGGTCTGGGGGAGACCTGATATAGTGAATGCAGGGTCCGGGGTTTAGGCTCCATTCCCATTAGGGTTTTTCAAATCATGTGTTCAGCTGCCATTCATTTCAATGGCACCTGAAAGCTTAAGGTGTTTTTGCCGCGATCACGATGCGTTTCTCAGTGTGGCAAACGCACCGCAGTCACGTACAAAAAAATTGCGGGACTCGCCACGCCGGACAAAAAAAAAAGATTGCGACAAAAACGCCCTGTGTTTTCAGGTACCCCTTTGAAATTAATGGCACCTGAATATGCGATCACGCGATTTCACACTATTACAGTGCGTTTTCAAATTGCGGGCAGCATTGCAGCAATTCCACCTGCGATTTGAAAAACCCTAGTGTGAATGGAGCCTCAATAACACTTTAAAGCTGACGTTAAGTTATCGCAATTTTTACATAGTTACAATTGCATCAATTAAATAATAATTATGTATGCGGGCGGCACAGTGGCTTAGTGGTTAGCATGTCTGCCTTGCAGTAAATGGGTCCTGGGTTTGATTCCCAACCATGGTGCCTCCTGCATGGGTTTCCTCTGGGTGCTCTGGTTTCCTCGCACACTCCAAAGACATACTGGTAGGTTAATTGGCTCCTGTCTAAATTGGCCCTAGTATGTGTATGTATGGATGTGAGTTAGGGACCTTAGATTGTACACCCCTTGAGGGTTAGGGACTGATGTGAATGTACAATATATATGTAAAGCGCTGTGTACATTGACGGCGCTATATAAGTACCTGAAAAAAATAAATATAATGTGCCATATGTGAAGAATGCCAGTATCATTGCTTGTAAGAATCTGCTGTACTGAACATAACAGAAGTAAAAAGAAAATGATTCAGAAGGCAGTGCATAGCTATGACCCAGGTTCACACCGGGGCAGACTGACCACTCAGGCACTTCCCAGGGGTCAGTAGGGGGCCCCATGCAATGCCCCTGGTACCTTTTTTTTATAGGCTTTTTGAGTGTGGGCAAGGACACAGTGGCCCCATGATACCCTATTGCCCAGGGGCCCCGTGAGTTGTCAGTCTGCCCCTGCACCTAAGCATTTTCCACAGCATTTTGCAGAAATGCACTACAGTCTATTTAACATGATTTCCTATGGGACACGTTCACATCTTCGCATTTTCACCCGATGCATTTTTTGGAAAGGGTCAGCAACTTTTTTGAATGGAAAAAGTTGCATTTTTGGTTCTGTAGACTCCAATGGAAATGCTGCAGAAAAGCATGTAGTGCGTTTTTACTGCGTTTTGCCATGTTTTTGATGCGATTTGTGTTTTAAATCTGCCTAGCAACAAGAAAAAAAACACAAAACATATAAAAAATGCAGCAAAAACGCAATGCAGAAACGGGTCAAATGCAAACTGCATAGATGTGAACCTAGCCTGAAAGGGGCCTTCGAAGAGGCTGGCAGAGCTAAAAGAGGTTTGGGGATGCCTTCTCTCCGATACCACTGTGCCCCCCTCCTCCTTTCAGCACATTTCCTTGTGTACATGCTTGCAGACCCTGAATGCTTGCATCACCAAAGGCACACGGGATATAGGAAAAAAACAAATCTTGATTTGGGGGAGGGAGGTCGGGTTTGAGTTTGCATTTAATGAATATTCATGAAATGAGTAATTATGCACTTATCTCATGTGAATGCTCAAATGCTTCTCAGTGTGATATGGCCAGGCTACCCTCTGTCCATTGCACACCTTCCTTTTAAAACATCCTATTCAAGCAAGGAGCATTATTTGGCAAGTCACATTCAGTAGTATATATAAATCCAATCACTAAAACCTCAGATATGTTTTACTATGTTCACCTAATTTCCAAAGTCATTTTCAATATTTCCAAATCTGCAGCTTTCATTAAAAGATTACCTGGTGATCCTGCCACGGAGGCCCTTAATCAGGCATTTCCTGTTTTAGGGTGACAACACTGTCTCCCATTTGTTCTCCTCTTTGTCACTCTGTCACTTTGACTACTGATGTAAACCACAAGTTTTGTCACCATCTGGAGACCAACTCTGAGAAATGCCATACAGCCATTGCTAGGGAGTATGGAGACATGAAGTGGCTGCAAAGAGGATGCAGGAGATCAGTCGTATTGAGATGCAACAAAGATTTACAAGGTGAAAACAACTGCTTTGTTAAAAATGCCAACTGTTTATTATATTGCTAGTAGCAGTTGGCCACATTCAACTGAACTTGTTTTGTAATATTGAAGCTTTGTAGCTCATCCAAGTCATTTCTTCAATTCTTCTTGGGATACAGGGTGCTTTAAGAAAACAAAAGCCCTTTAGTTGGGGTTTATGTCTTCCTTATGGCCTAAGTTTGGGTAAAGGTTTTGTTAAAAAATCAGCACAAAGCATAGTTCACACCAATGCCTTTTTTAGTACTTTTTTTGCAGAAACGCACTACAGTCCATATAGCATGGATTCCTATGGGACATGTTCACATCTATGCTTTTATCAGCTGCTGCGTTTTTGGAAAGGATCAGAGACGTCTTAAAATGCAAAATGTTGCGTTTTTGGTTCATTAGGCCTGGTTCACAGCAATGCATTGTGTTTTTTGTCCGTTTTGCAGTGCTTTTTGCAGTGCGTTTTTGCATGTGTGTTTTTGCTGTGTTTTTGCCATGTTTTGCATCTTTCCAGCTTTTTTTTTTTTTTTGCTAAAGTGAATATTATTTTTGTTGCTGGGCAGAATATAAACTCAAAACGTGGCAAAAACACAACAAAAACACACTACATATGCGCTTCAGCAGCTTCTCCATTGAACTCTATTATAACAAAAAAAACCTGCTTTTTGTGTTTAAAACAGTCCCTGACCCTTTCCAAAAATGCAGCAGCTCAAAAAAAGTATAGATGTGAACATGTCCCATAGGAAACCATGGTAAATGGACTGTAGTGTGTTTCTGCAAAAAGCAATAAAAAACACATTAGTGTGAACCAGGTTTTATACTTCAATGGAGACGCTGCAGAAAATGCATGTAGTGCATTTATGATGCATTTTGCATTTTTAATCTGGCCCAAAAAACAAAATGAAAAAAAAAAAAACGTGTAAAAAAAAAAAAAAACGCAAAAAGCAATGCAAAAGTGACAAATCACATACTGCATTAGTGTGAACCCGGCCGTACTTACATTTAATGAGAAGTGTCCCTTGTGCTGGTGCTGGGTGTCGCAATTAAAACTACCCTAGGCTCACATGTGAACCGTGGTTTGTGAAGGCAGGGCAGTGTATTCATTTGAATGGGCTGCTGTTCCTCCTGAAACGCAGGGAAAAGGTTCCTGCGGCAATTTAGAAATCGCAGCCCGCACAGAAACCGCAGGTGCAGTGTACTTCCCAGTGCAGGAGTGATTTGTAGGATTAATGGCACCTGCACTCATCTGCTGTGTATTTCTGTGCGATGGTTGCAGCTGCGGGAACAGAAGCGGTCCTGCAGCGGCGATCACACACACACAGATGTGAACTTAGCTTTAGTGAGTGCCATAGGTCAAGCGCTTGTATTAACCCCTGCAGCACCGGGAGATTACAGCTACAGGGGTATGGGCAGGGGCGGACTGACAACTCATGGGGCCCCTGTGCAATAGGAGATCATGGGGCCCCTATGTCCTTGCCCAAACTCAAAAAGCCTATGACAAAGGTTCCAGGGGCATCTCATGGGGCCCCCTACTGACCCCAGGCCCTCGGGCAGTGCCCGAGTTTCCAAATGGTCAGTCCGCCCCTGGGTATGGGGGTGGTAGAGGACTTCAGATGTCAACTAGGACAGCCAGCACCAGCACAATGGATTCTTCTCAGTACAAGTCCCGTCCCCTACTCTGAGTTTAAAAAAAAAAAATTATCTAAACTTAAAGTGTTACTAAACCCACAACAGTAAAATCAGTCTGTATATGCAGAAAAGCATGCTTGTTATACTCACTGTGGAACCTAAGGGGTTAATCCTCTGCATTGTGCAAAAATGATGTTTGTTCCTGTCTTCTCTGATCCTCCCCTTCTTCCACATTCCCCATTTCATCTCCTGATAGAACACAGCCTTGGGGACACTCTGCACATGCTCAGTTTGGTGTGTACTGCTAGAGTTTTTCTCTGCTTGGGAGAGCGCATGTGATCAGCGAAGAGCCAATCAGCACTGTCCAGACAGAGGCTCAGGGGATATTCAATCTCATAGGGCAGTCAGAGGAGAATGAAAACTCCTCCTACAAGCTATAACCTGTGCTCGGCCGGACACTGATAGAAGTCACAAGACTGCTCTAACTGCTGATAAGAAAAGGTATTTAGCAGTTTATATTTACTAAAATAATTGCATTTCCATGTTCTGTATACTGTGGGAGACCAGATATAGTGAATGCAGGGTCCTGGGTTTTGTAACACTTTAAGCCTAGTACACACAATGAGAAAATCAGATGAAAAATATCGCTTTCAAAGCGATCAGCTGATAATCTGATTGTTAGTAAATATCTGATTGTTAGTAAATAGCATTCGAGAGCCGATCACAGCAGTTTATGCAAAATTATTTTTTGAAGGGAAAAGCACAAACATTTTTTTTAATACGATACTAGAACTAACAATTTTCGTTTAATCAGTAGAGTATTTGTAGAGTACAAAAGAATACATTACAATACAATACAATACAATACAATACATTACATCACTTCCAAAGTTGTATTCTGTCGTGTCAGAATCTTCTTAACTTTAGTAACCTCTTCATTTTCGATATGAGACTAGCATGCAAAAAACCCCCCCAAAAAAAACGGACGGTCATTTATCCGATAGTCTCCTCGTGTGTATGAGGCTTGAGCCCTGGTTCATACTGATGCGGTGCGGAATTCGCAGAGATTTCAATTCCGTACCGCATCAGAATCGCACCCCGTTCATGTGAACCACTGCAGGTGTGTATGTTAACAACACCCGGAAGTGGTCCGCAAAACGCAATGCGATGTGAAGAATCGGATCGCATAGGTGTGAATACCCATGTGATATGATTCTAGTGCGGACCCAAAAAAGGGTCCTGCACCTTTTTGGTGCGGGTGCAGTACGATTAGAGCCATATAAAATGTATGGTTCCAATCGCACCGCACACAAATCGCATGTGATTTGCACAGGAATGCGGTGAAGTTCCTGTGCGAATCACATGCGATGTACCGCACCGCATATATGTGAACCCAGGCTAAAGGTGGGAATACGTGATTAGAAAATCAACCGATCGGTCATCCGACGACTGAGAGGCGTTCGTTCATTGGTCGAAATCGTGGCCCACATTAACCAATCTAAAAAAATCGTTTCTTCGGGCAATACGTAATGTTGATTATTATTATTATACAGGATTTATACAGCGCCAACAGTTTGCTCAGCGCTTTACAATATAACAGGAGACAATACAGTTCAATACAAGAGGGATAGGAGGGCCCTGCTCCTTGGAGCTTACAATCTAGAAGACATTTTAAAGCGCTGAGCAAACTGTTGGCACTATATAAATCCTGTATAATAATAATTATAATAACTGGAGACAATACATCAACAATACAGCTCAATACAAGAGGGTTAGGAGGGCCCTGCTCCTTGGAGCTTACAATCTAGGAGATGTCTTCCATACAAGTGGAAGTGATGCAGTGTGCATGTGACCTTGTAGCCACGCCCTTCCGGACAGAACGAGCGATATGCACAACAATTACCAGCAATGAGTATAATATCGTTTATTACATGACCTATATACATAAATAGTGATAAATAAAATATAATCTGCAGAATTCTGCTTTCATTATCTCATTGGGCCAATCTACTTTTAACATTTGGATTTTTCGTTCGTGTTTATGAAGATTCCTTGGACATAAACATCCGGTTCATCTTCTATTTCCGCTCATGCGTGATAGCGCTTGATAGATTTTTTTCGTACGACCGTCATACCACCGCACAGCAAATCGGTCGTTTATATGCGAAACGACAATATTTTTCATTGTTGTTCAACTGGATTTTTTCGTTCACAATATCAGTTAAAATATCCTGCTCATCAACGAAGAGAAAAATCGTTCGATCAGCGTTTCCGCAAAATTTTTTGTACGATTTTCTTATTGTGTGTATGGGGCATTAGGCTTCAAAAGACAGAGGGATTTTGTGTCCAGAAGAGAGGCTGTCTCACCAAGAAATGGTCTTTTTAGTTTCACCTAAAACCGTTTGCTGATAATTACACCTAAAGCCAGTTGGAAATTTCTTCTAGGGATGGATTAAAATGAACCACGATTTTACGTTTCAAAAATAATAACAAAAGAGCCGTGTTATCATAAATAGCCGAAATGTTTCCATGTCAGAAAAAAAGTCGCTTGATTGAGCCTGAATATTATGTGTATATAACTCACTTATTCCGACTAATATTTCTTTTTACAAGAAAATGCCTATTAAGAGGCTCGGCTAGGTATTTCTACAAATCCCAGCCCCGGTAAAAGATCACTCTTAAAATGGTGGCTGTAAAACATGTTTATGCTGCTTTGTAATGAAACAACTCAATTTGTATTGAATTATGGCACTGCCATTTCTCTACTTTTAGGTGATAGAAAGGAAGGACGATTTATTAAAGCACAGGAGATCTCTGGAACGCTGGAAGGTCACAGCCTGTGAGCGGAGCTGCTAGCAAACACACTGATGATGCTCCAAAGCTGCCATTTTTCTTCCTCGACACAGACTCCATCTGCCACCGATTCATTTGTAGCCTCTGAGTCAGAATATCAATGATATCCAAGCATTCTGCTAGTCTGCTTTCACCTTGACATCACCTCTGAAATACAGAGAAAGCAGAGGCTACACAGCAAGCTGCCGGAACGGGCTTTCTGCGGCAGAGGATTTCAGTGTGATATATGATTTCCACCCAGAAACCTTAAAGCTCAAGTTCACCTTTATTACATTTTCCACCTGCAACATCATTTCTGTGTGTTCTCCATTAGATGTAATTACATTTCTTTCTGCTTTTTTTTCCTTTTCACTCCACGGTGGCCTTCAGGCTCTGCCCTCGGTTCAATTCTTGATGCTCACCGTAAGCGATCTTTTGACTCCCGGATATCAAACAAAATATCCACGGGTTGTCTTTGAAGGTTCTCTGTTATCCAGGTCATGGTTTATCTAGTAGTAGTTAGTCACATACAACTGGACTCCTTCTGTAATGTTGAAGACGTTTCTCAGCTCATCCAAGTCACTTCTTTGGTTGTAACGAGTGTCAGAAATACTCCAGAATTAAAGCAAAGCTACAGGCTCTCCCCAAAAAATGAAAGGTCAGCAGCTACAATTACTGTACCTACTGACTTTTAATATAAGGACACTTACCTGTCCAGGGATCCAGCATTGTCCTCAGCCAAGCTGATTCTTCCATCGTTTGTTTCGGGTCCAGGCGCTGACGGTTTAAAACGTCACTAAACCCCCAACAGTAAAATCAGTCTGTATATGCAGTAAAGCATGCTTGTTATACTCATTGTGAAACCTAACGGTTGCATAGGTGTGCACACCCTTAAACTAATACTTTGTTGAAGCACCTTTTGATTAACATCCTCCACATTGTGTGAAAAAGATGTTTGATCCTGTCTTCTCTGATCCTCCCCTTCTTCTACTGTCCCCAATCCATCTGCTGATAGAATAGAACCTTTGAGGCAAGCTGCACATGCTCAGCGTGGTGTGTATTGCTAGAGGTTTTTTTTTTTTGTCTTGGGAGAGTGCATGCGATTAGCACAGGGCCAATCAGCACTGTCCAGACAGAGGGTCAGGGGTCATGCAGCCTCACAGGACAATAAGGGGAGAATGAAAACGCCTCCAACAAGCGTTAAAGTGATTGAAAAGGCATACATTTTTTTCTTTTAAAATAAGAAACATATCATACTTACCTGTTATGTGCAGTGGATTTGCATAGGGAGGCCCCGGCCCTCTTCTTGTCAGGTCCCCCTCAGGCTCTCCTGGGCCCCTCCCTTCTGTTGAGTGCCCCCACAGCAAGAAGCTTGCTATGGGGGCACCCAAGCAGACTTGGTGTCCATTGACACACAGAGCTGTGGCTCGACCCCACCTCCTCTCTCTCCTCATTGGCTCACTGGCTGTGATTGAAAGCAGAGGGAGCCGATGGCTCCCACTGCTATCTCAGCCAAAGAGGAGAGAGAGTCCAGGGATAGCCGAAACTCCAGTGCACATCGCTGGATTGAGAGGGAGCTTAGGTGAGTATTAGGGGGTCTTGCAGGGGATGCTGAACAGAGAAGGTGTTTTACCTTCATGCATAGAATACATGAAGGTAAAAAATCTTCTACATTTACAACCACTTTAACCAGTGCTTGGCTGGACATTGATAGAAGTCACAAGATTGCTCTAATTGCTGATGAGAAAAGGTATTTATCAGTTTATATTTACTAAAATAATTGCACTTCCATGTTGTGTGTACTGTGGGAGACCAGATATAGTGAATGCAGGGTCCTGGGTTTAGTAACACTTTAAGGGAAACTGGCAATGAAGCCTTGCAGCTTCACAGCCGGTTTTCTACTGCATATGAGCGAAGCACTTTACACTTTGTAAATGGTCCTGCAGTCTTCTGGGACCTGTGAAGTGTCCCAGAAGGCTTCAGGGGGAGGGGGGGGCAAATGTTCTGCTCGGATCGCCGCAGTGATCTGACCCAGAAATGGGAGCGGATACCTGTCAAAACCAGATACTCACTCCCTTATCCCCCCAAAAAATGCCAGATGTGGCAGTGGGGGGGATACAAACAAGTAGAACTCCCCCTCTTGGGTAAAGTTCTGCTTTAATGTCCACACAGGTAGCAGCAGATCCAATCACCATGGAAAGGCAGATGTCATGGTGCCTTTTTGCTGTGTTGATTGGTTAAGGCAGCCTTTCTCAACCTTTTTAACCACCTCAATACCAGGCCAATTCTGCACATGTAAATATCTGCATTTTTTGAAAATTAATTAGAACCTCCAAACAGTATATATTTTTCAAGCAGAGGCCCTAGAGAATAAAATATCAGGTGTTTCAATTTTTTTATGTCACATGGTATTTGCGAAACGGTTTCTCAAAACAATAAAAATTACACAGGGATGAATTTTAATGCACAAAGACAGAATATAATACCCAATTGTACAGTAAAATTAAAACAATGATCTTACACCAAGTACATAGATACCGAACAAGTCACACTTTAAAATGCTATATGCCCGTGGAATGGTGACAAATTATAGTACTTTTAAAGCCTTTACAGGTTACCAGTTAAAGTTAAATATAAGGTTTGGTGCTATAATTATTGCTCTCACTAAAATGTTCTTGACAATGCCTCTCAAGTGTATATATGAGCCTTTGCGCGTGAGCGGGGGGGTGCTTCCTTTTGTTTCTTAATTTATTAATTTTATTAAAAAAACAATTTCACTGCTTACATTTTTTTATTCACTTTTATTGCTATTACAACATCCCTTGTGATAGCATGGGCAGTGACAGGTACTCATCTGCCCTAAAAGCATCTCATCAAACTGAAATTGGTTTGAGCAGATGGTGTTAAAAGCCATTAATGGCTTGTAAGCAAAACACCGAAACCAGAAGTGACAAAATATTTGTTGCTTCCTGTTGCATAGACCATAGAGATGATCAGGAACTTGCCTTCCTCCTCCATCTCTATGGTCACTACAGAACAACAAACATTGTCTCCGCTGGGACTTTTCAGCCACCACAATGAAGTATAAAATCAATATCGATCATTTTTTTCCTTAAAATCAAGTTTTATTAAATTCCCATATAAAAAATCCTACGTTCTGAGCCAAAAGGTTCTTGGTCTCATTTACACAATTTAAATAATATATGCAACCCGTTGTAATCCAATTACAATCTAATACTCAATATAACAGAACTTTGCACAGTGTATTATCCAAACGTAACATATATGTTACAATGCCCGATGGCTATCTTCATCACATGAGTCAGAGTGCTTCAGCTACATACCAACAAGGTATCTCACCAGGGAAAATCAAGGAGATACACCCTCTAGCAGAAGAGGCGCAACTCCATCTCTATGGTCAGTTGGAACCACGGCATCAATCCTGGGCTCCCCGGTATAACGAAAGTGCCAGGTCAATGGCAGTGGAAAGTAGCGGAGGGGGGGAAATCTTGCTCCCACATGTGAGAGCTCTACAGCCACTTGGATCACTTTTACACGATTCAGCATCACTGGCTGAAATGATTGATACCGGGTTCATGACTGCAGCTACAGCCATAGCCCTGGTGAGAAGTGGGTAACATGAAGGAACCCTTAAAAAAACGTACAGGTCTCAGAGAACCCTAGCCAATAATTACTATATCAACAACTAATGGTAAAATGGTGTAGTGATCAGAATGCTTCTCACATTGGTGGTCAATGGAAGGAATGCCTCCTACATTGGTGGTCAGTAAGAAGAATGCCTCTTACATTGGTGGTCAGTGGGAGGAATGTTTTCCATACAAATAGCTAAATAGATCATTGGTGTTAGTGATTACATATCTGAGAGGTAGAAATTGCTCATTGCTCTAAGAAACCCTGACAACCTTTGGAGGAACCCTAGTTGTCCGCAGGACCTTGGGAGAGAAAGGAGACTTAAGGAATCTATGCTATCTCTCTGGATATAGGATTCCATTCATACTTGTGCGACTCCGATGCGACTTTGATTCAACTTAGGATGGATGCGGCTTTGGCTGTTGACTCTGGCTTTGACTGTTGCACTGGTAACATGTGACTTTCATACAATGTTTGAGAGTTTACATTGCAGTCTATGGCACTCAAGTCACATGAAAGTCACATAAAAGTACTGCAGGAACCTTTTTAAAGTCACTGCGACTTTAAGTCACATAGATTTGAACAGCTTCCACTGAAATACAGGGGCTGCAACTTGTCATGCGAATTTAAGTGTCCAAAGTCACATGACAAGTCACACAAGTGTGAATGGAGCCTAAAGGATGAGGTATCTTCCTGACACTCATTAGAAATGAAGAAATGTCTTGGATAAGCTGTGAAACGGCAACATTACAGAACATGTCCAGTTGAATGTGACTAATAGTAGCCACTGAAATAATCTGAACTGTCAGTCAAGCTTACAACAGTGCAGGTCACATAGAACACAGGACAAAGGCAGTGAATGTTGTGATCAGAGCCAGGCCACATGCTAGGCAGGAGAGGTGGCCATCTTGGGTGGTAAAGCAGGGCACAAATATGGCAGAAATACAACCTTTGCTGCTGAAGTAGATCACAGTTCACGGAGGGCACGCTGGTCTTTTCCCCTTGGATGCTAAAGCACCTTGTCCTGGCAATGGATATGATCTTTGTACATTTTACCAGCCCATGTGATAAATGACTCAAAGAAAACTGTAAGTATTAAAGCATGGAATTGTACTTGCAGACATTAGCTGGCAGCCCCCCGTTGGATTAAGCAATGCACTAATGTCTATGGTGCGCCCGCTGACACTGCCAGCCAATGCTCATGGTGGGGAGGAAGAGCCTGTATAGAACAGAAAACCTTGGGGAACATTGATTAATGCGACTGCAATTAGCAGATCCCATGTGCATTTTATGTGCAAATACGTCAACACAAATCTTTGGGTCTATTATGTGACTAAACCAACAGTTAGTTTTGCACAATCTCCCCAACTAGGAGAATCTATTTAGGAACGAAACAACCTCAGAACTGCTGCAGAACGTCTAACTGCTAAGGAGTACTTTATAAATAATTGCAGATATGTTCATTTTTATCGCTAATTTATTAATCGAAATGCGTACAAAAATGAAATCTGTCACTACATTGCCTTTAAAATAAAAGAAACAGCATAATAAAAGAAATGCTGGCACTAATGGCTAAAGACTTATCCAGTAAACACAAACCTCATAAAGTTAGATAAAAAGCCTGATCTTTGCATTCATATTATTTCTTAAATGATCGATTTAATAATATTAATTGTATTATTAAACTTAAAGTGCAACTTTGGGAAAATGAAAATCTGTTCCTTGCATTGGGGTTGTACCGGCACCGTGAGGGTTACAGTGATTCTAATGGCAAAACATTTTTACCTTAATGCATTCCCTCAATTAGTGTAAAAAATGTCCCAGTAGTTGTATCACCCCCTCACCTCCATATATACTTACCTGAGTCCTATCTTGATCCAGCGCTGTGCCAATCTGCAGATGCTTGGTCTCTGTTCCTCTCCTTACAGGACACAGAGGCAGCAGTGGGCACAATTGGCTCCTGCTGCTGTCAATCAAATCCTGTGAGGAGTGGGAGGCGCTGAGTCATGCTGTGTGTGTGTCTATGGATGCACACAGCAGGGCTCTGCAGCATGCCTGCACATGTGCGCCCATAGCACACAGCTTGCTATGAGGGCACAAACAGAAGAGGAGGAGCCAAGAGCACCAGCGGGTGACTCCAGAAGAGAAGGCTCAGGGTCACTCTGTGCAATACTGTTGAACAGAGCAGGTAAGTAAAACATGTATATTATTTTAGGGAAAAAAAATTATTCGCTTTGGCTGTTCATTTCTGTCTGGTGGACAGGAAAGGGATCTTTACTTACCTGATCCTCTGCTCCCCTATGTCTTGGCACCCCAGCATCCAGTGGAGGCCTATGGGCCCTGCATCAGTCTTGATGACGTTAGAAGACCTTAGACCACCAGAATGCAGGGGAGAAGAGGTTGCAGGGACTAGTCTAGAATCACGGAGGAGCCAGAAGGAACTGAGTTTCAGGTAAGTAAAAGTGCTTTCTACCGGAAAGTGTACTAGGCTGAGACCCTTTTAAAAAAGATGCTCGCTTTGCAAGTGATATTTTTCGTCTGATTTTCTCATTGTGTGTACTAGGCTTAAAGTGTTACTAAACTCAGGACCCTGCATTCACTATATCGGGTCTCCCACAGTACACAGAACATAGAAATGTAATTATTTTAGTAAATATTAAACTGCTAAATATCTTTTCTCATCAGCAGTTAAGAGCAGTCTTGTGACTTCTATCAGTGTCTGGCCGAGCACTGGTTAAAACTTGTAGGAGGAGTTTTCATTCTCCTCTCACTGTCCCATGAGATTGCAGAACACCTGACCTCTGGACAGTGCTGACTGGCCCTGTGCTAGTCACATGCACCCTTCCAAGAAAAAGAAAAAAAAACTCTCTAACAGTACAAACCAAACTGAGCATGTGCAGAGTGTCCCCGAGGCTGTGTTCTATCAGGAAGTTGAAATGGGGAATGTGAAATAAGGGGAGGATCAGAGAAGACAGGATCAAATATCCTTTTCACACAATACAGAGAATAAACCCCTTAGGTTCCACACTGAGTATATAACAAGCATGCTTTACTACATATACAGACTGGGTTTAGTAACACTTTAATGTAGAGAGACATAAGCTGGCAACTAGTGCTGACTGTTGTAAAGTGTATCTAAAGCCCAAACATTTTGTATTTCTTGTTTTGGATAGAGTGGGGATGG